TGAGCATCAACGGTGATATTTGACTAAAGTCATGAGAGGATATATTCCTGATGATAGTACATATTCCTCACCCATTCTCATCTCATTTTTTCTTTATCTTTCATTTTCCAAAAATTTTTGAATCCTCACATAATCCTTTTTCTCATGCATCATCTTTGTCAACATTTCCCCCCTTGTTCACTATATAATTAATGTCTCTTTCCAATTTTCTTTCTTTTCATCTATCTTATTTTGTCCCATCTACTCCCACCTAATCCAATTACCTCTTTCTCTCTCTCTCTCTCTCATCTTCTTCTCCCCAGATTATACCCAATTTGTCCTCATTTTTTTGTGATTACTTTTGCCTAATATTATTTTCATTCATTTGGGAACTTTAAGTTAGATGGTTTAGACTAGTTTATCAACAAACAATATTTTATCATGGACGATAAATTCATTGACAATTAATCCAAAAATTTTTTCAATTAGTGCACACCACCAATTTATTCCTGCCTAATAATTGACTAACTACTACTATCCTGGCCTTGATCTATCTTCTCTCTCTCTTCATCTACGGACCTGGTTCGCTTGTTATCCACTGGGTTGTTGCAAATATCTTTCTCATCCTACCTCTAACCTTGATCCTCCTTTTCCATTAAATATCCATCTCTTATGACCAAGACAATAAGATCGATCAATGAAGAAATGTTATCATTCTTTCAACAATTTCTTCCTCTACTTTCAAAAACTGTATCTACTTTTCTTCCCAATGATTATCTTGTCTTTCCTAAAATGTTTCTCCTTTTTCTCATCCAACACCTTTACCACCAAAATATCATCATTATCACTCCCATAATGTTCAATAATCATTGTATTTCTTTTCTTCTTTGACATTGATCTTACCTCACCTTGTTCATTCATTCTTATTTCTCTCTCTCTCTCATTCTTTTTCTCTTAAAAACTTGCTTCCGCTCTCCAACTCATACTCTTCTCTCTTAATCCCAATCATCTTTAACTTTGACAAAAAAAATCTCTTTCTTCACAATCATCAAACTCACAAAATTTACAAGGAAAACAACCAACACATCCAAACACACACACACACCGAAATAATAAGTTAAAAGACAATTTATATTATTATAAAAAGTAAACCAAATTTAAGACGAAGAGATTATAATGAGATTATCAAACATAACAAAACAAACCAACAAACAAAAATAAGAGATTTTTACCTCTCTTGCAATCACTTATTTAAACGAGAGGCCAAACAAACAATGAAACAAATCATCATTTACTATTAACTGTAATAACAATGTCTATTTAAGAAACAATTGTTTTTCACTTTCTCTCTCTCTCTCTCTCCCTTAAATTGTTTGTGTCTCTTAATTAACTTTCACCTTCTTCTGTTGTAAAAGCTCATAATCTAAAAAAAAACGAAATTATTATTTATAGTTCAACACTTATATTATAATCCAATCCCTCGAAATAACAAAGATGTCGACATAAAATAAAATGTGAATAAAGTTGCCCATTTTTAGATGAAATTGTAAAATGTTAAATTTGATTAATTATTTGTTTAATTGTGTGGAAATTGATCTGATTAAGATTGGTGGAAAGAAAAAATTTTTCGAAAAAAAAATTGTACCGATGAAAAACTTTTTCCATCTCTTAATTGTTAATAAACAACTCGAATCAATATCTCGATTAATTTAAGAATCTGGATTAATAATTAATGAGAGATGGAAATTGAATTGATTGTTGTGTCATGTTTGATGTTAATCAGGAAGAGAAATCGAGGTTAAATTGTGATCGTAAACACGATAAACTGACCATGATCAATCCATAGATAGATTAACTTGCTAATGATTAACTAATAGCAATTAAATGAACAAATTTATCTAACCTCAGGTTATTATTGTTAATTAATGTTACCGTTTGTTATTACAATTAACTATCAGTTTGTTTTTACCCACTTTCAATTTGTTGTCCTCCATTTACACTTTAACCCTTGGAGCAATTAACTCACCTTATTATTATTAAGATGATGATGATTAACTAAACTGGTTCATTAAATTGTAATCTCATCATCATCTGAATCTTCATCCGTTTTGGTTAATCACTTTTAATTGTTAATCACTTCCGGAAAATCAATCGAACTTCAATTTGGTCATTTGATTGTCATGTGATTGAATAAATGATTAACTGATTGTAGAAATTATTTCGTCTTTATTAATAAGATTAATATTAATTAATTAACGGTCTAACTAATTGTTAACCAAATTGAGAGGAAGAGTTTAATTTTCTCAACGATAATTAAGTTGGTTGATCATTTTCTATTGATTATGATTTTAATTTCTTTACATTTGATTAATTGTTGCACTTTGTTTACCTTAGTTCATTTAATTGTTGATCATTTTGACTATTTTACTTAATTCTAATTGTTTTTGATTAACAGAAACTAACAGAATAATTTGAACAACAATTTATTCATGGTTTTAATTTAAATGATTATTTAATTATCATTCAAATGTGAACCAAACAATTTACCGTTAATTGTATTAAATCAAATTAAACTCAAGTAATTTCAATCTGTTAATTCAATTTTCTATCACCTGATCAGGTTAATTGTAATCAGTTAAGTTCAGGCTCATGGTTAATATTAATCACGTTGATTAGATTAAGTTACAAAAGGTCAAACAATTAACAGATGAACTTTACCCTAACGAGATGTGTTGATAGTCTTGATGTTAATTTGCTATTAAAATTGATTAATTGTTGATCTTTATCAATGAATTAAGTTTAATTTTTTTCTTCTATTAAAAGTGAATTAATTAAATTCTATTGGTTGTTTTTTTCTTCTTCTTCAAATTCGATAAGTTTACCAATTCGATGATGACCTAACACGACCGAAAGGTTCTAATGGCCGATAAGAAACAACCTTTAACCATCACCGTTTGGAGATAATTTAAATTCTGATACAAATAAACTTATCACTTTTCAATATTCCAACAATTTAACCGATTTAACCGAATCTTTAATTTCCGTTTTAACGATCATTCTGTTATCCTCTTCCTCCGCCTTCCACTCTTCCCACCCTCGTCCTTACCTTATACACTTTTCCTTTTATCGAAAGCAAAACGATATCGATTACAATCAAATATCGTAAACAAGTTTAGAATAATAACTTTGAGTGAATTAATTTATGGACGTCCCATCATCATCTTGGTATCTTCATGTTCACCACTCACTCACCTTTATCATCTTCAGGAAATGTTCACTCGCGCCACCAAAGTGTATAAAAGGATCGGACGAGGTCACCAAACGAAATCTGTTCCAACTAATCATCTAACCTTTCCACTTGAGCTTAACAACTTCTTCTCGAACTTAACCAAACCCAATCCTTTCTAATTCAATCATCATGCGTTTCATGGTAAGCAAATAATCAAACGAATTGTGTTAAGTGTATTTGTTTGTTTGTGAGAGAGAACGAGAAACTTGGATAACTTTTGAATGGAAATTGTTGTTTATTCAATTTTCTTCGAACTTTTCTCCATCTAATTTCTTTTCGTCTTAACTTTGTTCTTTTCTTTCGATTGGTTCGTTTTCGATTTTATTTCATTTTTTATTCCTTTTCTTTTCTTTTCTTGTTAATTTATCGAATAGTTCGCCTTCGCTTGCTTCTGCGCCACCATCATCTTCGTCCAAAGTTTCCCAATCATCTACGCTCCAACTCTTGGTAAACTCGCCATTCCTGCAGCGATCGCTGGTGGTTACATCGCCACTGGAGTAGTTGGTGGTCTTGCCGGTGCTCTATCAGTCAAAATTCATGAACCCCAACATGGTGGACATGCTTATGCCATTCACGATGGACTTGACCACCTTTCTTTTGACCATGGTGAAAGTTGGTAAATTTGGTTCACTGATCAACAATTGTTATCTCTCTTCATTTCAAAGTGAAACCTCCTTTTGCTCATCATCCTCGTCATCGATCCTCTCATCAGGTTCACCAGGTTCATGTCATTCACCATCTTCACCTTCATCTTCGTGCTCATCATCCTCAACCTCTACACCATCTTCCTCTTCACCAACACCAACCACACCGTCAACCTCAACGGTAGTAACAACCGGACTCTCACCAGGAAACCTTTTAACCTGCCATGATGATCATACCTCAGTTTCATCATTCTTACCTTCACTATTTAATTTCATCTCACCATCGGACCATCAACAATCAACTTACCTTTTCCATCCTCATCAACACCCAACTGTCCATCCTTACAATTTCATCATCGTCCTAATCTACTTGGTACCATTTTCGGTCTACCTTAGCCTGGTCTACGTTTTTGTACCTTTGATTCCCGCTTTTCGTTTCGCCCTTTTTTACCTTCTCTTTTATCCTGTTCTCCTGATTGTTACACTTTTCTCAATATTCTATGTTTTTGTTAACTAATTTATTAATCATCATCATTTTCGTTATATTTATCGATCAACTTGGGAAAGAAAAATTTGTTTACCTCTTCTCCTTTATGGATGGAAAACAATTTCTATTAATTTATTTTCATTGCAAACAACAAAACAAACAAACAAATCATCTGTTATCTCCGTTAATTAAATGATTAATTAAAAATAAGCAAAATTTATTCGACAATTTGATCAATTGTTTATTCGCGAAAAAAATTTTCCAATTTTGGATCAATTGAATTTTCCGCTTTTCCTTCAATGACATTGTAACCATGGCAACAGAAAATTGGGGAAAGAAATTAAAGAAAATCATGTTGAGTAATAGAAGAAAAAATTCTTTCCCTCCTTTTGGTTTTTCTCTCTTTCTTTTCACTTAAATTCTTTGTCTTTTTTTCCCTTAAAAAAAACAAGAACTAATTTCTATTTACTTTTTGGTTCTCATCTTTTCGATTGGTGATTTCTTTTAATTTAATCTTTTGTTTTTCTTTAATTCTTACAACTAATTGTGTTTTAATTGTATTCGGTAAGCATATTGGTTAATTATTTCTCAACCTGTCACAATGAATATGTTACATATAAGATTTTCCATGAAGAACGGTCTCTTTATTTTCTCTCATATTTTCTGTCTTTTATTTTCTCTTCTCTTTCTCTCTCAATGGTTTTAATGCTCATATACATTCCCCATGTATCGAGAATTGTAATGAAAATTTTACCCTGGAAACTGATTTTATATTCTCAGTATTTATTCATGTTTTCCTTTCTCTTATTCTCTCACTTTCTTTAAACTCTCTATTCCAACTTTCTCTCTTCTTTTCTGTTGCACTTTTTCACAAAAAGAAAAGGTTTGTTTTCCTGTGATCTTTATGGGCTCAAGTTTTATGTTTCATAGTTTTTTTTTTCGCATGAATGTTAGTCCTTTTTTTCTATGGGTAATGTTTCTCACTTGAACTCTCTCTCTCTTCTCTCTTTTTTGATTTTTAATCTTCCATTTTGCCTTACAGATATAATAATTTTCTCTTTTTTCTCCCTTCCTCCCTCTCTCTCTCTCTTTTTCTCTTGTTTCTTGTTCTCTGTGTGTCTCTCTCTCTCCATCTTACCATCATCACCAGTAGTAACTCTTAATTCCAATGACAATTTCTGTGGATTCAATTCTGGCCATTCTATCGCTTTTCTCTATCATCTTGTGTATTTATTAACTCATATTGTGTTTGAGTTTCTCTGACTGTATATAAATCTGTTGTTGGACATTGTTATTCATCTTTAACTTTAACGTCATTGGACATTAGTGAATACCTTATTTTTTCTATTGGAATTCTATCTACTTAACCATAACAATTATTGCTGATTTTTTGCCTCCTTCATTTGGTATCCTTCCTCTTCTGTATGTTTCAAGGAAACATTTACCAAACCAGAAACTGTTGGAGTGTTTTTACATTTTGTTTCTCTTGATTTATATAAATTTCATTGATTAGGTTTGTTTTCTTTTTTTCTTTTTTCCCCTTTATTTATCCCTCTCATTTTCAATCTCTCTTTTCACTGTCTCTGTTGATTTCTTTCCCTCATTTTGTCTCTCTCTCTCTCTCTCTCTGTATCTACAGTCTCTCTGCCTATACAGTTGTGTGATTTTCTTCTCTCTCTCTCCCTGTGAATCTTTAATCATGTTTATTTAATTTCTTTTTCTCTCTATTCTATTACAGTTTAAGGTATGGCTGATGGAGAACATATTGTGGAAGTACAAGAGGTTGAAATAGAAGCTGTAGTACCGACTAAAGATGAAGACCTTGACGATGATTTTGACGCAGAGAATAGGTTAGATCATGGAGAACCATTGGTTAGCCTGGGTACTGATGATGATAATTTAAATGATCACCTAAATGATGATTGGTCAAATCAGGATGATGATGAAAGTGACAATGTTTCCGTGTTTCCATCTTCAGCACCCGATCTAATGCTGGAAACAGGCAGAGATTTATCCAAAAAACGAAAACAATCCCCTTCACCTTCAAGTAAAGATGCCTCGGACTGGTTTATGTCCAATAGCAATTGTGATTTAATTGCTAACAATTCAAGTCTAACACATAGTGATAGTCTTTTCCATAATTCCAATTTTGTTACCAACAACACTGGAACAAGTAACAATAGCAGTGGATCTTACAATCGAGCACATAACAACAATCTTATGATACATAATAAAAAATCTTTCAAAAGAAACCTGGTTGGAACCACTTTACTCCAACAACCAACCCACCTTGAAAGTAAAATGGTCAATAGTTCTAATCTACTTGAACGTCGAACACCAACCAGATGGAAAGAGAAATCGGTTCAAATAAAAACTTTAGGCGGTGGACATTTTAGTTTTATGACCTGGGTGTCTGCTAATGATGATGAAGAAATAGTGACCGCTGCTTCCCTTGATGATGATAATTTAACCTCCTCCTCTTCCCAACAATCTCAACCTCAATTGGACATTAGTGAATACATGACAGGTATTAAGAAAATACCTAAGGAAGGTCTACCAGGAGTTGATTTATCCGATCCCAAACAATTAGCTGAATTTGCAAAAATGAAACCTCGTAAACCCTCATCAGATGATGATACCCGAACCATTGGTTGTCCACATAAAGGCTGTTCCAAAATGTTTCGAGACAATAGTGCGATGAGAAAACACCTTCATACCCATGGACCTAGAGTACATGTTTGTGCCGAATGTGGTAAAGCATTTGTCGAATCATCTAAACTTAAAAGACATCAGCTGGTTCATACCGGAGAAAAACCTTTCCAATGTACTTTTGAAGGATGTGGGAAAAGATTCTCCCTCGATTTTAACCTTAGAACCCATGTAAGAATACACACTGGTGATAGGCCTTATGTTTGCCCTTTTGATGGTTGTTCTAAAAAGTTTGCCCAATCAACTAACCTTAAATCACACATTTTAACACACGCCAAGGCTAAAGCTAATCAACAACAAAGAATCACAACAATGGAAATACCAATATCATCTCCAACCTCTTCAGTATCAACATCAATGACACCCGATGTTGGAACTGAATGTTTTGTTATTGCAGCACCAAATTTACTAAATTAAATCCATCATCACCCTCTTCTCATCTTCCCTTTAAATAATTGAAACTTTTTCTCTCTCTCTCTCACTCTCTTCTTTTTCTTGTAGAGTGTTTTTCATTTTTCTCTCTCTCTCTCACTCTCTCGGTGAAAGAAAAAGATTCTATCATCTTTAATTGTCATCATCTTTTTCCTCTTGCCTTGTCTCTGTCTCTATCTAACTCTCTGTCTCTCTGTCTCTCAAACACAAAAAGACAATTCCTAAACCTCTTCGCCATTCATCATCATCATCTTCATCTTCATTCTCTTTCATCATCTTCATCTCTTCTTTACCTCTGTTCCTTTGAATGATAAATTGTCAGGGCAACAAAATATTTTCACCTCGCATCCATTGACGCCACAAACAACTTGAATCCCTTTTCACTTAAAAAGATAACAACAACAACAAACAAACAATTAAATTCAATAACATTGATTCAAAAGGAAAGAGAAATATTGTTAAATAAAATAAATATAAAGCTCATGAGTTTTTTTTTCAAATCGTAATTGTTTTGCCACCAAATTATTCAACAATTAACTTTCAATGGACCCAAAATCTGATGATCTTTTTTCCGAAAACAAACAAATCAAATCAAAGACAATTAGATGACAATTAGAAAGCACCAAGAAAAAGATTAAGAATTAATTCTATCGTAATCGTAATCGTAATCGTAATTGAAATGTTTCGATTTGATTAATTTTCTTTAATTCGAAAAAAATTTCAAGAGAAATTACTTATTCTAAATTTCTATGCGACCCCTTCTCTTTTTTTCTCTGTTGAAGTCTTCAAGTTGAAGAGAAAGCTTTTTATTTAACCGAACCATTTAATTGACAGTTTGTCTCTTCATCTAATTTTGTATTAATCATGGTTGGTATTAATTGTCTGTTTAATTACGATGGTATTAATTATCGATTGAACATCAATCCTAAAAACGGTAAAGAGGTGATTACCATAGATGAGTTTAGATTAAATCTTCTTGATCACCCAAAGCTGAAAGAGGTTGATTTTTTTGACACAGAAAAATACATTGTTGAGGTAAGTGTGTTCTGTTTTATAATTATCCAAATTTAATGGTTTAAAATTGTTTTTATTTGTTGGTTGTTTTGTGATAATTGCTCTTTCTAACCTCTTTTCTTTTTGTTTTAATTGTTTTCTTTAATTTGGTAGATTTTTGATAAGGGGTTTGATGACTATATCAAATTCCCAAAAGATGGTGATATTTGTGACTATAGTAAGTTGAGAGCTCGATTGAGACCCAAATCAACCTTGACATTGGTCAGAAAAGATGAGGAAACACGTAAAAGACCATTGTCCATGTATGCTGAGCTTAACATGGAAGAGGAACATGCTGCTAAAGTTTTGAGGGGATCACCTCCACAGAATGTAACTCGTGCTAGAGTTTCATCACCTCCACCATCATCTTTCCGTAGATCACATCAGAGCATTTCTGAGCCAATAAGATCTGAAAATCAATCAAGATCATATACTAGTGTGAAAACACCAGTAACATCTAAACCTGCAACCCCTCAAACCTCGTCATTTAAGCCCAAACCAAATCCTTCACCGGCTTCACGACCACCACCACCACCACCACAATCCAATTCAAAGGCACAAGCACCAACAAAGACTCCAGTAGTTACCAAAACACCGGAACCCTCGACCAATCCTTTTTCATCAAATTCTTCTTCAAAATCTATCTCTAAAATCTCAAACAATTCAAACACGCCAAGAGCTCCAGGCTTACAAGGGATTGGAGATCAGCTTCCTCCTGGAGCTGATCAAGACAGCTACTTTTTGGCTAAAGCAGTGGACAAATATAATGATGAGTTTACCAATATTATGATGTTCGATGAAATTTGGGAAACTGAACATGTTTGGCCTTTCGTTTATCGAGAAGTCTCGGGCCAGGGCGTTCAAAGCATTAAAAGTGTGAAAGAAACACGAAGCGCTTTCAAATTATTGGTAGATAAATACATCGCCACCCTACAGAAAACCAATCTAACCGAAGCTGCTGCTAATCAAGATTGGCCATTGTTTGAAATTTTCCATTCTAAATTAAACATTAAACCATTTTATGGACGCATTCAGACACTTAAAGATGCTTTTAACAAAGGACCCAAAGATGCTGGAGATAAACAATCATCAACTTCAGCTCCACCAACACCATCATCAACAAGCTCATTATCTCAATCAATCAAAACTACCCCATCAATCCAACAACAACAACAAGCTCCAAAGCCACAAAGAACTCAAGCCAAAGTATTATCGGAAGATATTATCCTTTTAAGCGCCGATGAAACCGATAAACCAACAATGCGAATAGATGATGATGATGATGAAATAAGAGAAATTCATCCGACTACCTCAATGTCAAACAGAATGTCACCCGCTCCATCATCTCCACAAACATCACCACCCAAATCTCACTCTGAACCACCACAGCCAATCATAGTTACTTCAGATGATTTCCGTTTACTATTAGCGGTTGAAGATCATAACAAAGAGTTTTATGATGATATAATTCCCGAATACAGTGTTTGGAGAGAAGTCACCGATCAGATTAATCTGTACAAACCTTTCGAACCAAGTTTGGTGATGAAATATAAAACTCGATTCTATGAGTTACTCCAAGAATTCGTGAGGATTGAAAACTCATCAGTACCTGTGAGCGAGAAAGCTCAATGGAAACTCTACAGCTCTTTTATCAACATAGACACTGAGCCTTTCCTTTCGAAACTCAACAATCTATGATGATCACGATGAACATGATGAACTTTGTTCCAACAATCAACCTCGAAACAATAACCAACAACTTTAATTCTTGAATTTTTTTCCCTCTTCTGCCGTCTTACAATTTCCTCTTTTCGTCTTCAACTTTAAATGTGCACGCAACTGATTCCCTTTCAATTTCTTCTCATCAATTGTTTATAATTACAATTCTACAACTACCTCCGTAATTATAAATCAATCCAATTGATTAACCCTTTTTTTTTGCAATTACTTTCTATTTCTAGAGTGAAGGATAAAAACAAAACCATTTTTTTCAGCAGATACAAAAATTGTAATGTAACACATTCTTTCAAATTGTATTTGATTAATCAAACAAACAAAACGAAACCACAATAATTAATTTAAAAACAATTAAACAATTAACTAAAATTATCCATCAACAATTTATTTCCGTACAAAAAAAAAATAAAAGTCAATACAAATCATTGGTTTTCTATAAGAAAAAAAAAGATTTTTTTTTTCGAGAAATTGAAAGACATTAAAACAGAGAATGTAAAAAGATGATTGAGAGATTAAACTAATTGGATGTTGGCTTTTTGATTAATTTGGCTAATTGTCTACTGCAACCGTTACCATCGGTGTCGATGGTGGTGGTGAGGGTGTTGTTGTTGAGACAATTGTGCTTGTGGTCACAGTTGAAGATGAAGTGGTCACTGTTGGAATGGAGGTTGATGAAGTTGCGGTCTTCTTTTGATTCGCATCAGCTGATTGAATATTATTGTTCTTGACCGATTTAATGTAACAAGCATCATCTTCACCCTCTGAACAAGATGTTGACGTTTCATGGTCCGAGATAACGTTATCATTAGATTTGGGTGGAATCTTTTTCCGACGATTAATAACTGGATTAACAACAGTTTGTCTGCTCTCTTGTAAACACTTGGGATACTCTTTAAAGGTAATATTTTTGCTCTTACAATATTTAATCAAACCATCATTAGAACATTCGTCGACCATTGTCACTAAAATTGGAACAAATTAAAAAAGAGTAAATCGTTAAAAAGTAATGAGAAAATTGAAACAATCGGTAAAATTACAATTGAATAATGAGAGTCGACAGTTAATTTGTTTCTTGTTACCAAAATTCACAAATTTAAATATTGAAGATTGAAGATTGTTGAGAATATCGATTATTCGATCGATTATTTAATGAATCGATTATATATCGCATTTCTTTTTCGATCTTTGATCAATTTGTTTTCTCACAATCAAGAAAACTGATCCATTAAACGATTGATAATTAAGCTTCTGACTTTACTTGTCCTTAAATTGAGTCCAGAATTTTATCATTTCCAGTTAGCGATCGAAAGATTTTTAATTTTATCATCATAAACTTATAACGATTCAGATTTTTGAATGAAAAATATTGGACTAGATTGACTTTGCTTCAAGAAGATAATTATTTATTCAATTTGATTGAGCAAAAAGGGATTGTGATTTTGATTACAATTTGATTGGAGCGATAATAATTACAGCAATTAGGTACCTTACAGATGAATAGGTGACAATTTAAATATTAATAGCACAAAATCAATGGTAATGGTAACAATTGTGAACAGAGGAAAGAAAAAGTTTTCATTACAAAATGAAAAAGTTGGAAAAACATTTAAATAAAACAGTTAATAATAAATCAGTGTTGATCATGTTGTTTATAATACAAAAAGAAACAATTAGATTATAATAAATTACTGCATAGTTAATAACAACAATCTAAAACACTATTAAGATTATCAATTATTATTAAATCAATATCGATTATGAGATATTTGGTTGGGAATTGATATCGACATAATAACAATAATATAAATATATTACATGAGATTGAAAGAGAGCAAGAGATAAATTAATCGACTATGTTCATTAATCAATTACAATTACAATTGATTGTTGGTCTTTTTGCTTAGCTTGTAAATGTAATAGTTACTTAATATTAAATTGAATGAGATTCATTTTGATTGGAATTAAATTATTATCTCTGTCACCCCTTTTCACTCAGTCTAATTGCTCATCCAATAATCTGAATGAAATAAATAATAGTATTAACAATTTATCGACAATAGTTAAATAGAGATATTTATAATATAATATATTCACAATAGAGAGATGACAATTGAGTCAATTAGATTGTGATTAATTGTGATTATCACTCCAAGTTCCAATGTTTTTGTCTTCTATGTTGTTTATTTTTCTTCGAGCTCCATTTACACTTTAATATCCTAATATATGTCCTTCTGAAGGTCGCGTTACAAAGGGCATAACAAAGTGGATTAATTGTGGAATTGATGTAACACAAGTAATAGCAAAAATCCCATAGAGATTTCGGAACGGTCTTTTCTTCATCGGCTGAGGTACCTGGGGAAAAAAAAGAAGTGAAAAAAGTTACGATTTAGTTGAATTGTTAGTTTGGTTGGTTTATTTTGATTTTGATTCTTATTATTATTATTCTGTTTGGGAGTCAACAATCAAATGACGATAATAATATTAAAGATTAAGTTGATTGTTCATTAATTGTAACATCAACAACAACAACAAATAACATGAAACTTTTTTTTAGTATACAATATTAATGTCCTTAAGTGTAAAAGTTAATCAATTGTAATTATTGTTGATTTAATGGGTTACATATCAAGTTGATGATGAAAAAAGTAAATGTTAACTAAAAGTAAATTAAAAGGTTGGAAGTTTTAACCAATTAATGTTAACAATAATCATCATTGATCAACGATAAAAATAGTAACGGTAATAATCAAATAGCCTAAGGAATTAGAATCATTTATAATGGACTTAGATGGAATCTTTCAATTTCTAATCCTATTCATCTAAATATATTCCAATTAATTTAACAGTCAGAGAGAGAGAGAGAGAGAGAGAGAAAAATAAAACCAATGATAATCAGAAAGAATCAACAATTAAATCAAATGAATAAATGATTGGATCATCAATTGATTGTCCATGATGAATGTTCAGTAAAGAGTCAGATAAACAGGAAAATGAGAGGCAAAAACAAGAGGAAGATCAGTGAGCAAGTGAGAGAGAGAGAGATGAAGGATGATGATAGGGAATTAAATTACTCGGGATAAATTAACAGAATTGATTGAATTATCCTGAATTGATCAAATAATAACTTTTCTCAGGGCGAAAGGATCAAGATTATAACAATAATACAGAAAATAACATTTCCTATTCACTATTAACTCTTTATATTGTGTTAAACTTTGATTCAGTTTATTAATTAATTTACTCGTATTCTTATTGTTATTATTTGTAAAAATCCTTAATCATCATTATCATTTTGTTTACAATTGAATTTCAATTAATCTTTAATTCATTAACATTATTCATAAAGTTATTTTTATTTTCATTCTCAAATTTTGATGACTCTCTAATTTAATTACTAATAATAGTTTCCACTATTGTCGTTAATTATTTGTTATATTTAATGTGCATAACAAGTAAACAATCATTAAATTGTTAACGTGACATTTAATTGTTGAGATTAAATTGAGGTGTCAAGAAAGAGAGAGATTCTAATAATAATAATAAACCAAAGGTAAAACACCAACAATAAGGATATGTGATAATTAGCATTAGGATTTAATTGGTGAACAATTTAAGTTAATTGTTCGCAAACATAAAACTCTAATTAAAAGTAATATAAAGATGTCAAATAATCAGAGAGAGAGAGAGAATTGACTTGGTGATCAACTAATTGTTATCAACTATCGATTTTAAATATTTACCTGAAAGTGAATTAATTAAGACTAAAACATTGTATGGAGTCCAGGTAATGGCGAATGCAAGTAAAATGGCTGACAGGGTTTTGGCAGCTTTCCTTTCACTTTTCGGCTGTTGTGGGTGGATTGAGGTTCCAGAGGGGTTAGAGGTTAATCTTCTTGGATTAACCGAGGAACCGGAAACAGAAAGGGTACCCGGTGATTTGGCAATGGTTGAACCTGAAGAAGTTGATCCTTGTTCAATACTAGTTGAATGTTGAACCAATTGATGATGCGATGAGGAATGACGAGAGTGTGGATGATAATTTAAACCATAAATTGTTGAACTTTTATCCTTCCCACCGCCACCACCACCACCACCATCTTTGGTATTAGTTATATTGTTATTTGTTTCTAAATTATTGTTATCACCATGTTCAATCATTTTAATTGTATGGTTTGACTCTTCATCACCATACAATTTAATGACAATTGTGTAGATTGATTCACTTCCCTTAAGTGAATCACCAGCATCACAAGTTCCAGTTGATGTTGGTGTTGGTGAAATGTCACCAAAACCCCACCACCTCCACCTCCACCACCACCAATCCCTCCTCGAGTTGTAATAACATCTCTGTTATTTTTATTATTATTATTGTTACTTTTTACATTACTATTAACAGTTGATTTACTTTTTGAAGAATAACTTAAACCACTATGATCACGGTTAACATTTCTATTACGATGATTAAGGGAATGATTTGTTGCTGATGATCTTTTATCACTGAGTCCATGTTTAACTTTAGCATTTAATTTATTTCCACTAGTTACTTTGCTTTCATCTCCTCCAACAATTGAACCCTCATCACTTTTATCATCATCTCCATCTAAACTATATTGATGATGATGATGATGATTTGATGATTTTGATGAAGATGATGATTTACTCCAACAAAACCACCAGCGAGAAGTTAATTTACCATCAAAAGAAGATGATCTTTTATCACTATTATTTGATGTTGTCGTTGTGGTGATCACTTGACCCTCCGAAGAGGAAGATGTATTCTTACGAGATAACATAACAACTCCACCGCCTCCTGAACGGTTACCACCACCAAATCCACCACCGCCACCACCACCAGTTGCTCGAGAAGCACCAACAGTTGATACCAAAAACAGGGTGGTTAGGTCACGATATCGTTTCTCTGTTTCCCTCCAAATCCTCCAATAAAGTACGATCATTACAAACAAAGGAATATAAAAAGCACCGATCGCCGTGCCAAAAGTAATGTAAGAATTTGTCTCCAAAAATTGAATATAACACTGGTCTTTGGGCACTGTTCGTTTACCTTCAATGTAAGGCCAACTAGAGAAAGAATGAAACAATTAGCAATTAATCACAAATAATCAGAGAATTTCAAATTTAGTGGACAAACAACCGTTGATTAGATAATTACTCTAATCAACAAAAGAGGGCAATCCTTTAAATCCTTTACAATTAGAATCAATTCTAATTGTTACGTTTATTTTTCTCTTATGATCAATTGTTTTCTACTGTTTTGATTCAGTTGGAATGAGAATCGGTGATCTATTGGAATGGAAAACTCGAAATGAACCAGAGCGAAAAAAATTGTTTCTCTTCCCTCTTCTCAAATGATCAACATAAACATTGGATCTTCTTCCTTAATTCTGTTTGGTTTTAATTGTTATAAAATCTAAAATTATTTCTTCAATCACTCAACTAATCTATTCCAAAGACTGAACTCCGAACTTGATGGTTATCGTTCATTTAAAACTGCGGAAAAAAAACTCCAACAGTCGTTTGCTTCATCTACTTCCTTTTCCTCCCAATGGTTTGGCTTATTAACGATTTCGTTGTTTTTTTCATCCTCTTTATGGAAACTATCGGTTATTTGATCTATTATCATAACTCTCAATTCTATTATTTTCAGTCACTTTCATTAGTATGATTGCTCCATCTCAATGTCTTCCCTCATTCTCAACCGTAAATATAAATCAACAGTCTATGGATATTTGTACACACACTCAATGTTGAATGGTGGATCTGCCTTAAGGTTTCACTGAATAGACTTGGCTTGATATAAATAGATGAGGAAAACTGATTGACCAGATAAAAGTTAATATTCAATAAGTTGATTGGGAAGATGGAAAAGAAGACGATTTATATTTTGAGAAGAGGAAAATATAAAGTAAAGAGTAAAAAGGGAAAAGAAATGGAACCCGAATAAGAAGAGTAAATAGTGAGACCAACTCAACCAACCAACAAAGAATCAAAGTAAACATAGAACCAAAAAGTTGTAGCTTATTTCATCACCTTTTTATCATCATTCTCATTCTCATCATCATCTTCTTCTTCTTCTTCTTCTTCTTCTTCTTCTTCATCATCATCATTCAACATAATCATTAACATTCTCCTCGTCTCATCTTCATCTTCTTATATTGGAAACGATTTTTTTTTCTGCACTTCTCCTTACTCAGTAACTCATTACATAAACAAAAGGAAACAACAACCATGGTAAATACAAGAGAAAAAGATGATGATGAATTATTTCCATGAATTTCAATTTCAACAAAGAATTTCATCTAACAATTGGAACTTTTAAAGAAGAAGAAAAAAAAAGAGAATAAAAGTCAAAGAAAAAAAAGTCAAAGAAAAGGAAAGAAAAAGAAAAGATAATAAGAAGAAAAGTCCAATATTAATAAGAAAGTCAAACATAATTCCAATGTGAATGTCCTGTTATATAATACAAATCTTTTTCGAAATATATTATGATGATCATGGAAAGATAATCATGAGAAGACACTGGACAGTAAGTAGAATCTGTGACTCATCAAATGCTACTGACCAGAAGAAACTGACAAAGTTAACTGTCTTTTAAAAAGTTCCAACCTTACAATCTATGAATTCCAGTTGAAACTTCGATACAAAGATATGATACACGAATGATACATGTTATTCTCTGAAGGAAAAGGAAAAAGAAAGATGAAAAATCAAAGGAAAACAAAAATAGAATAAAAAAAAAGTTGTAATAAGACTTGGAAGCTCATTACAAAACGAGTTGACCGTAAAGAGTAAATAGGAGTGGCAGAAATTTCGAAGAAAATTCGGTTCGAAAGATAAAAACTGTGATATCTTCGAATGTATATATGGATGATAATTCAGTTTCAGAATATCTTCTCATCTCTTTTCCTGTTTTCTTTTTTTCTTTCTTCCTCTCTATCAGTGTTTATGTGTAAAGAGGAATTTTCTTCTCTTCGTTTCATCATCATTCTCATCATCATCCCTGTTAAAATGAAAACATTTCCACACACCCACAGCCAGAGGAAAAGGAGAGAGAGAGAGAGAGAGAAACTTATATTATCTTCCACAGGAAAGATCGTTACAGATCAACAATTACTAAGCGTTATTCCGTTTATCCAGGATTAAATGTTCATTGGAGCAAAAAGAGAGAGAGAGAATGATAAAGATGATAAAGAAGATGATGGAAACGTGAAAGTAGCTTAAAGGGAAATCGCGAAAGAGTAAAAAAAAGATGATGATGAGAGAAAGATTTTGATTATTGAGCTTTTTCACAGAAAAAGGAAACTAAATTATCAACCTGATCATGGGAAACTCATCATCATGGAGAGAAAGTGATTCAATCAAAGTAAATAATAGACCAGTAACTTTATTCGGATTCACAATCAAGTCTCAATTTAATTTTGCGAAAACTTAAATCAACAACCAATCAACTTAATAACAAGTTATTAAAACAACACCAAAGATAATCAAACAAATAAATGGCCAACAATTAGGATCTGATGCTGGTGGGCAAAATTAATCACCCAAAGTCAATGAAACTTGAACATTAATACCTCATTAAATATCTCATCTTATTAATCATTAACTTGATCTGGACGATTATTGTTAATATCATTTGGTCACCTTCAATTACCACAATTATCATGACCGAAAACACAATCCAAAGGAATAGACTCAATTCAATACACACCAGAATCTTCATGGTGTTTATATGAATTGATAAAGAAAAGTTTATCATCTTGATTATTATCATCATCGACATCTTATATTATCATTTCATATGATAATCAGAAAATATATTAACCATATACAAGTTTAGTTAATAAGAGAGTAACAATTTTATTGACTTAATATTGTTCTGATTTAGTTGTTAACTTAATCACTTCGGAAAGTTATCTTCATCATTAACATTATATTCAGAGGGAAAATTTTCACTCCTCTTTTTATCAATGAATAGTTATCATGATATTTACATGATACCTTTGATTATCATGAGGAAATCAACATTTTCATTCAACAATGGCCTTTGATAACAATGGTAATCAAGATAATCAACAAGATTAACATTTACATAATGATGACTAACTAACTAATCAATGTGTATGTGTTTGGATTAATCAAATAATCTGGTTAATTATTTTAATCATTTTAACCTGGAAACTTTAATCAGTGTAACAGTTTACATGAGGCAAAAACAATTAATATTTAGATTAGTGATCAAATGATTATGTATTATCATTAATTGTTAAAATATTCATCTTAATTGCTCATCCGTTTTTCATTGTTGCTATCAACTAATCTGAAATACAGATGAATATATTTGTATGAATAAAAAATTCATGATAAAATTTGATTGTTCAGAATCAGAGTTTCCAATAATATAAAATCAACATTTGAAATTCAATATGATATTATCATGGATAACATGATATTATCATGTGTAAGCAAGTTGATTTAATGGTAAGATGAGCGTTAATGGTTGGAGGTGGAGCTAATAGCTATCCAACACACTTATCCCTGTGTTTGTTTAAATTAGGTTAGGTTAGGTCTTCATTAAAAGGTCAAAATCGAAGAGTGGACAATCAAACGTTAACAAAATTCAGCTAATTTCAACACTTTGAACTAATGGACACCATCGATAAGTGTGTTGAATAACCACTGGCTCCACCTCCAACCATTAACGCTCATCTGATTTAATTTGAATTTCTGCCTGAAAACTCATGTTTATCATGAAGATGATCATCTTTACCTTTATCTTTTTCATCATCATAACCATTGAGGTGCAAAGTTGTTTGACATAGAGAGAGAGAGAGAGAGAGAGAGAAAACAAACTGAATATAATAATAACATTGAAATTTTTTCCATGAGATGAAAAAGTCAATAGAGAAAATGAAGAAAACGAAAGCTGAAAGTTAATCAGAATTTTCTTATTTGGAATATTTTAAAAATTTCAAGAATTCGGAACCTTTGTGATAATAATATTCTCATGATATTGATCATTCCAATGATTATATATTGTTTGGAAAGTTTCACATTCAATTGAGTAATCATGAGATAGATGTTCTTCCTTACCGGATGCTCTCAATTCTGAGAGAAATATTTTATTCAGGTTAAGATAATATTTGACTAATCTTCCAAGTCTTAATCTAATCATTAACAAGGATTAAGCTTACCTGAGTATCCACGGAGGCCACATAAGTAACGATATGATCCAAGTTGTCGCTATCATTATACAAGCTTTTTTAGTGGTTCGTTTTGCTCTGTAGGTTAATGGTCTAGTTACACTGAGAAAATATCATGAAAAAAGAAAAATTATCGATTAAAATACACCGAAATCGAAAAGTTCTGACCTTTCCCTTTCATGAAACTTATCTTATTATAACGATAATATTATACCTTTTTAATTCTTAGGGATTAATTAAATTCATTTAAAATTTTCACTCGATGTTCAATATTTAAATCGCTTCTTCAATATAATTAACATTACATTAGTACATGAGACCTGAAAAAGGTAAACGAGCTGAAATTCAATTGAACTAATAAAAGTTTCGTTATTATGAGGATTTGGATTAAAATATTTATTCTAATCCTTGGATTATATTAATATAATTTATCTTTCTCATCAATGATAAGCTCATTCACTACTCGAAGTGATTATCTTTATATAATAATTTCAATTCTTAATCAAAATTAATTGTAATCACGATGGTCACATTAATGTAACTCTTACCTTTAGGTAACAAGATTTATCTTCATGTTCATTTGGTTGTTTCATCCTCATCCTCATCCTCATCTTCATCTTCTCTCTCTCTCTCTCTCTCTCTCTCTCTCTCTCTCTCTCTCTCTCTCTCTCTCTCTCTCTCTCTCTCTCTCTCTCTCGGTTAATAGGTCAACTTAAGTGGTTAACCAATGTTTCCCTACTGGTCAAGTTTAATGACCAGTAGAAGTATAAAAAAGACAAAGGAATATGATTCTTTGCCTTCTCATTCAATCATCTTGAGATATTGTTGAAAAGTTTCACAATAATCCGATTATCTTAACCTAAATTCATCTCAACAGCAATCAGATTCTCAAAGGGAGAGAGATAAATAATTTAATCGTAATTCAATTGGAGCAAATTTGATAGAAAATGAAAGTGAAAACAAAATCTAATCAACTATTGATACTCTCCATTGATAATCAAGATCGTAAGTTAATTACTGTTTAAATTTGACTTGCAAATAATACAACAATTAATCAAAAACCATTTACATCAATCAAAAGTATTAGAATGATAATCATTAGGGTTTAAATGGTAATTAAAAAAGATTTCACCTTCATTGGTTAATCAAGAAAGATATAAATCCATTTAACTAATTAGTAAATCAAATTAAATTCACTTGGAAATGTAATTAACACAAATGAAGGTTTAACTAAGTTTTAGTTTCAATTATTTGTTGACCAATTGTAAACAATTACTTGGAGATTTAATCAACAATCAGATGATGAAATAGCTTTCTAGATAATTAATTAATTACTTATCATATTTGAACAAGATTTTAAGTTAAATCAATTTGATTGGTAAGTTGATTAGATGGATTAACAATACAACAAAAAAAAATAAAATGAAACCATTTTTCATGATGATAGATGATGATAAATGAGTGATGATGATTAAGATAAACATCATGAAGATAATAATGATGTAGGTGGTCAATTGATGGTCAAGATGTTGAATAATGAAGTCACGAAATGAAACTGATCAAGGAAAGAAAAAAAAATGTTTCAACCTCACGAGAATCAAAATGTTGGAAGATTCAACATGATGATAGAAAGGAAAAATTCATCATCATGTAAAGATTAAGATAGAAGTCATTTCATCATGTGAACATGATATTCCAGTCTCAGAGTAAGAAACTGACCAAAGGGAGAGGGGAAAAAAGTTCTCAATTCTTAAAGTATCACAGAAATGATGATAAATTACCTGGACCATCATCGTCATCTTGTTTACCTTTATGATGGTGAAATTTTGCCTCAGATTGTTTTTTTTAAAAGAAATGACCATTGGTCAAGAGACAAAAATCAATTGGTCAAGAGAAATATAAGAAAATAAAAAGACTAAAAAAACACTCGAAACATTTGCTTCTTGTTGTATACTTTTGGGAATTCATTGAGAACTATTTTTTTCCATTCCATTTCCATTTAGTAAATTCCATGTATTCATATTTTATATTATTATTTCAATTTATTCCAAGTGGTCAGTGTCTGTAATGCTCACAGGTCATCACCTTGTATATATCTCGTTATTATTATTATTATTATTATCGTGGTCATCACCATCAATCTCAGAATCATCATGAGTATATGAAAAGTTATCTCAATCAAAGTTGAGAATTGAAATATTAATGTAACAGAAAATGAGAAAACTTTTTCTTCCTCAATCTCATATCATCATCATCATCATCATTTACAGTGATGATTATGGCGATAATGATGATGATGATGATGATGATAGCCCATATGACGCTGAATTGGGTGGGCAGAGGACAATGAATACTCATGAGATTTTTTTTTCTCTCCTCTTTCTTGTTAAATATTAAGAATTGTGATAATATAAAGAAAATGCTCTTCGAACTGATTTGAAATTGAAAGAGAAAAGAGGAAAAGTTCCAAGAGAAATTTTCCTTCTTTCAGCAGAAAATTCAATTCTTTTCATGAATAACCAGCATTCTTAAACCTTCATCTTCCTACTTAAAACATTATTATCAGCCCTCTTTCATCTTCCTTATCATCATATTAATCATCAGGAAAACTTTGTATTCATCTTATTTTTTGCATCAGATTTTTCATCTCCCATTTACCTTTACAGCAAAAACATTATTATTATTATTTCTTACTCTCTCACTCATTCACTCACTCCTTCTCTCGATTTTATCATCATCTTCATCTATTGGAAATGGTTCATCACTTTTATCCTTAATAACAGTTTCCTCTTTCATTATTATCTTCCTCATCCTGAAAAGATGAAAAAAGGGAAAAAATCTTACCAATTGTTTGTCAATGTTATTATTTTTCCCTTTGTAATAACGGTTATATTGATATCCACCACCCACCGCCCAAGAATTTCATCCAGACATCTATTTCATCCTTCAACCCACCTCAAAAACCCTCCATCATCATCATCATCATCTCATCGTCCATTTAAATCCATATCTTCAAACTATCAATCAATTTATACACTTTACATTGTATTATCATCCATCCTCCCATCACCCTCCCTCCCTTTACCTTATCCCAAGGTAAAATCAATTTGAAACTTTGAAACATTTCCCTCATCATCCACCCCAAATTTTCAGGTAAACTTGTCTTCCTAGATGATGATGATGATGATGATAAATTCACCGATAATGTTCAATCGTTATCCAATCGTTATCATCACATCATCCAAAGATGATGAAAAAGAGGAGAAAAAAATATTAGTTGATCTAAAAATGGGTTCTCCTCCTTTTTGGAAATATTTTTACCTCCCACTCCCATTTCATCATCTCCACCCCAATCCACCCCACTCCCTTTCACCCATACCTTTTGATATCATGAAAAAACATTTTCCTTCCAAGATCATCTCAGAATTGCATCATTCCCATGGAAACCAAAAGGTAATTTTATCGTTTACAGTTTTTATATTATTACTATTAAACTAATGTTCCGATAATGGGTTTTCATGGTTCCTATTTATTTTGTGTATATTTTTCACCCTGTGAGAGAGTATACACACCCTGAACAAACTGTTTTCTGAGTTCGATGAAAAAAAAAACTGAAAAAAACAACAACAAGAATAGAAGATAAAAAAAGTACAAGATTCAATTCAATTCTATTGCTTCAGATAAAATATATTTCTTCATGGTTATTGCTTGCGATCAGAATTAAATTGATCAAGATAATATCATCATCATCTTCATGAGTTACTTTTATTATTCATTTATTAGCTTCCCCTTTGTTGTTATTCAATTATCATCTTCATCATGTAATAACTAATCTAATAACACTCACAATGAATAACAACCATGATATTGAATGAAGTTCATATTCAGATAATCAGATTTACATGGCAACAGAATTTAACTTTGAAATTCTCAGACTAACCAACTAGTTTTTTTTTCATTCTTATTCTTATCATGATAATGATGAGCTGGATGATATTACATGATGATTTATCTCTGAATATTGGATAACCAATAAGTTTGGATATTGGGGGATGAGTGTGAAATTGAATCCTTCCTGAAAACAATGAGTAATCAGATGATAAGGTAACATTGGTGGGAGATAAGTTAGAGAGAGAATAAAAAATTCTTTTTCATTTTTCAGTTCTTCTATTCTCAAATTATAATAATGTTTACAATCGGATGGATTTGAATTTTACCGCCAAGTTGAATTACTTTTGATGAGAGAGGAAAACTTATTCAGGAGAGAAAATTTTGTTACAACTGAATCAGAACTTTCATCTTCTTCTCCCGTCCCACTCTCACTTCACCCAATCCACAAAGAGAAAGTTATTGTATCCATTTTAGAGGTTTGTTCAGATGGAAATTTGATTTTTCTGTCAGAATATTGAACATCATCTACAGAAAAAAGATTCTTTGTAAGTGAAAGAGAGAGAGAGAGAGAGAGAGAGACAGAGTATTCGGAACTTTCCCCTGAAAAAAATGGTGATGAAGATATTGATGATGGTGATGATAAAATAAAAGTTCTGATTCCTGTGATTGAAGTGAAACTTTTTGTTCGATGAAAATGAAATTGTCATTTCCCATGATATTTACCATGAGTTGATGGATTTTCCATCTGTAACATTACTGTTATTATTATTATTTAGTCAACATTATCATCATTCACAGGTAAGGCTCATGATGATGATGACGGTGATGATAAAGTGTCAATTTTGTTAAACTTCCTAAAATGAATCAATCTGAATGAATCAATTCAGTGGGAAAGAGGTTAACATAAAAAGTTCATTTCAAGTTGCTGAAATTTACTGTTTTTTATTGTCTGAAAACTTTTACTCCCATTTACCATGTAATCCACTTGGAAAATTTTGATAAGATAATAATAATCTCAATTTGAAAGTGAAACTTTTACAAATTCATTATCAAGATAATCAATCAAACAAATTGGAATCACAATCGATTGAGAGAAAGACTTGTTGAACTTTTTACAAGTTGAACAGTTGAAAGTTTCAAGATGAAAACTTCGTGCTTTCATCATGAAAATACAACTCAGGGTAAAAAGTTCAGTTTATCTCATGACAGAG